ACACACTCACACACACACACTCTCACATACACACTCAAACACTCTCACACACACACACACACACACACTGCACTGACTGTGAAGAGCATCATATAGCACTGAACACACTCTCATTCACACACTGCACCGCTCTGGCTCTGAGCCAGATAAATAAATTAAATACTTATTAATACCGTCCACTTCACATTATAATGTTTCAAGTCAGAATGTCACTGGAAACATGTAAAATAACTGCTTTTGTAAGTCGTTTTGGATAAAAGCTAAAAGCTAAATGCAGAAATGTAAACATTCAAAGTTCAAAAGGTTGACAGAAAAACAATTTCATTTCCATAATGTAAAACATCATTAAATCAATGACACTGCAAAAGAAAAAAAAAAAAAAAAACCTTAATGGTTTTAAAAATAGGCTTTATATGTAAAATGTAATTATTAAAATTAAAATTCTAGTTCATTATATTTTCATTGGAAACATTTATTATAAATACTATGCTCATCTACATCAGCATAAATTAAATGCATCAAATATTACCATATTTTTTACAATACAATTTAAATAATATATTTAATATATATTTTGATGACATTTATATGTTTTTAATATTTTTTGCATTAAATATATTATACATTAAATAATGACAAAAAGCAAAGAAAAACTTTATGTCTGAAAACTAGGATTACTTTTCTTAAATATATTTTACTATATAGTTATTTTAATTTTCATTAGATTTCCATTACTATAAACATTAATTATAAATTGTACGTTTTTGTTTATCTACATCAGTGTAAATTAAAGGCATACAATTTGACCAAAATGTTTATTTTGTTTACAATACAATTTAAACAATAAATCTAATTTTCATAATATTATATCATAATGTAAGTTTTTAATGTTTTAATTAATATTTTAATATTCGTATTTATCACTGCATTAAATTAATGGGAATTTGGGGATAAAATGTGCTTATTTATAATTAACAATGACAAAATGAAAAAAAATATATGATTAATTTTGTTCATGTAAAATATATTTCTTTACTATACAGTTATTTTATTGTCGTAACATTTCATTACCATAAAACATTAACATGAAAAACATGTTTTTGTTGATCTACATCAGCATAAAGGCATCAAATATTACCATGTTTATTTTTTACATTACAATTGCTAAAATATATATTAATACAGTATAATATGTGACCCTGCAGCACAAAAGCAGTCTTAAGTCGCTGGGGTATATTTGTAGCAATAGCCAACAATACATTGTATGGGTCAAAATTATACATTTTTCTTTTATGCCAAAAATCATTAGGATATTAAGTAAATATCATGTTCCATGAAGATATTTTGTACATCTCCTACCGTAAATATATCAAAACTTAATGTTTGATTAGTAATATGCATTTCTAAGAACTTCATTTGAACAACTTTAAAGATGATTTTCTCAATATTTAGATTTTTTTGCACCCTCAGATTCCAGATTTTCAAATAGTTGTATCTCAGCCAAATATTGTCCGATCCTAACAAACCATACATCAATGGAAAGATTATTTATTCAGCTTTCAGATGATGTATAAATCTCAGTTTCCAAAAATTGACCCTTATGACTGGTTTTGTGGTCCAGGGCCACATATAGATAATATAGATGAAAACAGATAAAATGACGTAATTTCAAGTTGCATGTAAACATTAGTAAATAGGTAAACATTAGATCTGATCTGCAGTTGTAAATATGTTTTATGGGACTAAAAGATGAAAATACACTCACGTCATCTTCCTCATCAGTCATATCATCATCATCATCATCATCGTCGTCAGCAGTGCTGTGCTTGTATCCAGGCGGCAGCGGTGGCCCGACCACATCATCATCATCATCATCTTCCTCATCCTCATCCGTCTGAGCGCCGAGCGCAGGAGGAAGTGGAGGACCGATGACATCAGAGTCCTGCTTCCTGTTCACACAAACACATGATGACGGAACAAGTCGATTTCTCTTAAGAACTGGCATGAAAAAGCTATGGATTATCTTTGTGATATACTAGATCCACAAGGGAATGTTTACTCTTACTGTGATTTCATGTTTAAACACATTTCCCTGTGCTTCATAAGGAATTTCTTACAATGGCTACAGCTATACCAAATGCTCGTTCACTTAATGAAATAGTGATTGTAAAAAGGGAGCAGAATTGTTTGGTTGAAGACGCATGTATTTACGACCCAAAATGTAGTAATAAAATGATAAGAAATGTGTTTCAGTTAAGGAAAATAATTACTCCGAGGGACTTTTATTTTGGGGAATTTTTTAATAGATAAGATTAATTGGAAAAAAAGCATGGCTCTTACTTTATAAATTCTGTGTCCCCAATAAAGTAAAAGAATTACATTTAAAAATGGTGCATAATATATACCCCGCTAATGAGATAACATCCAAATCTGCTAATCCTCATTTGAATTGTAATTTCTGTATTGAGTCTATTGATCATCTTTTTTTCCAAATGCCAATTTTTCAATAATATGCCAATTTAGACATTGATTTAACTATGTGTGATATAATCTGTTATTTTTCTCATCGTAAACATAACATAGAATATATAGGAAATGTATTTATTTTATCGGGAAAATATTATATTCACAAATGTACATTTTCTTTAAAGTTACCCAAATTACATAATTTTCTTTGTGACTTTAACTACTTCATTATAACACTAAAAAATATTAACACTAAAAAAAAGTGTCAAAGTTGTGAAACTGTATAAGGATCTGCTGAATGCACAGTAATTCTCTATACTTTTTGTTTTATGTATTTACATTTAGACATTTAGTAGACATCAGTATAAATGAGGACAAAGCAATCAAAATCAACAAAAGAGCAATGATATGCAAGTGCTATAATAAGTCTCAGTTAGCTTAACACAGTACACATACCAAGGTTTTTTTAAATAATATAATAAATAAAAAGAAAACAGATAGAATAGAAAAAGAATAGAGCAAGCTAGTGTTAGAGGTCTTTTTTGCTTTTGTTAATTGTGAGCCTGCAGCACAAAAGCAGTCTTAAGTCGCTGGGGTATATTTGTAGAAATAACCAACAATACATTGTATGGGTCAAAATTATCCATTTTTCTTTTATGCCAAAAATCATTAGGGTATTAAGTTAAGATCGTGTTCCATGAAGATATTCTGTAAATGTCCTACCGTAAATATATCAAAACTTAATTTTTGATTAGTAATATGCATTGCTAAGAACTTCATTTGAACAACTTTAAAGATGATTTTCTCAATATTTAGATTTTTTTGCACTCTCAGATTCCAGATTTTCAAATAGTTGCATCTCAGCCAAATATTGTGCTATCCTAACAAACCATACTTCAATGGAAAGATTATTTATTCAGCTTTCAGATGATGTATATATATCTCAATTTCAAAAAATTGACCCTTATGACTGGTTTTGTGCTCCAGGGTCACAATTGTATGATAAATAAAAAGAAAACAGATAGAATACAAAAAGAATAGAAAAGCTAGTGTTTTTTTTAAAGAACAGAATTTGAACACAAAGTGCCAGACTGATTTAACCTTTTTTTTTTTTATTGCCTTCCTATATTATTTTTGTATTCATACTGTCATCCAATGTTGTATTTAATTGTTGACGTTTATTGTTTACGCTTGCAATAAGAAACAGATGATGACGGATCTCGTGACTGTACCTGGATGCTGACGCTGACGGCTCGCCGCTGCTGGCCTCAGCGTCCTGTTTCTCGCGCTCCTCTGTGACAGGAAAACTCAAAGTCAACAGAATTCTTCAAACTGACTGACTGACAGCTGACTAGAGGTGCAATAATAGAGTAATGACCTAAGACACGCTGGCTCCTCTCGATGGCCGTCCTCCTCGTCTGCTCAAACATGGCCTCCAGGTCAAAGGTTCGAGCTTTCTTCCCTGAGCACGAAACAAACAGGATTCAAACTCAGCATGTGACGCTGAAAACACACACAGTTAACTGCTTGTGCTCCAGAAACACTCACCAAACCCAGAGAAGCCCATGACAGATGAGACGTCTGCATCGCTACTGGAGTCCCCTGTGATCAGACCAAACCAACCATTCAATATCAGCAGCAGTATTACTACCTCTACATGCCATTGAGAAGCGATAGTAAAAATAATAAAATAGATCACGATAAATAATCATATTTTAAAGGGAGATTAGAATTTAATTTTCAAAATATCTGCTATTGAAATTATTACAGATTTTCTGTTATTATTTCCATTATTATTATTATTATTATTATTATTATTATTATTACATAATGAATAATAATAAATAATAACAATTATATTCTAAAGGGAAATTAGAATTTAATTTTCAAAATATCTGCTATTGAGATTATTACAGATTTTCTGTTATTATTTCCATTATTATTATTATTACATAATGAATAATAATAAAAAGAATAATTAAAAAATATATATTTTAAAGGGAAATTAGAATTTAATTTTCAAAATATCTGCTATTGAAATTATTACAGATTTTGTTATTTCCATTATTATTATTATTATTATTATTATTATTACATAAACAATGAATAATAAATAATAAAAAAATAAAATAAAAATTATATTCTAAAGGGAAAATTAGAGTTTGATTTTCAAAATTTCTGCTATAGCTATTACAGAATTTCTGTTTTTATTATTATTATTATTATTATAGAATTACTACCTTTACAAAAAGTACTATGTTGTGTGTATATAAACAATGAATAATGTATGGGTGGCAGTCAAAAATGTATAAATACAATTATTATTATTAATAATAATATTCTAAAGGGAAAATTTGAGTTCGATTTTTTTTTACATTTTTATTTCTATTATATAATTATAACCTTTACAAAAGGTACTGTGTTGTATATTTATTTGTAACAATGAATAATGTATGAATGACAGTAAAATTTTAATCAAATTAAAAAAGCATCTAAAGGGAAAAAATTATATTATTGCCTTACATTATAAAAACGAATATGGTGTGCGAGTGATACATAAAAAAACACTTTATATATTTTATTTTATTTATTGAATGGTGGATAATGTGTAGGTGGTAGACAAAATATATATGCTAATGAATGAACCTATCCCTTGACGTGATTGGTTATTGAATGTTGCGACGTAGCAAGCCCAGCGTTTCTGGGACTGTCTTTGGGAAACTACAGTTTTAACCCTCATGCGTCTCTCCCGAACCGATAACAAAAATGTCCCTCGCGGGTCAAAATGACCAGAAGGCCAAAAATGACACTAATTTTATTTTTTATTGGAACATTTTTATAATTTTTTTCTAATTTTTTTAATGTAGGTTTTTCTATTATTTTCTGGTGATTTTTTTTTATCATATTTACCTTTTATTCTAGGTATTTTTAAGAAAACATAAGCAAATAAGCAGTTTTAAGTACATTATTTCACCAAAAAACACAACTATTTCAGTCCGGTTTCATCAAAAACCAACAGATGGCATTGGAATTGAGTCACTGAGTGTCTCTGATGCATCAGGTGGGGAAAAATGACATAAAATTGCTTATGGTTACAGCCACTAGAGGGGCTTATAGAACCCTATGGAGATTTTGAACTGAGCAAAACTAGTGAAACATGAGAAATGAGAAAATCTTAAGGCTTCAATTTGTTTGTTTATGGATTAAAATATATATTGAAACATTACAAAATCCAAATTTTGTAAAAAAATAAATAAATAAAAAATTCTAACTGAATTATAACCTAAACATATGCATATTCATACAAATTCATATGAAATAAATATATATTTTTAAAAATATAAATATGATATAAACTCATTGGTCTCCACCATGATCACTCAAATCTGTGTTAAGAAAAAAAATTGGGAAAATGACAGTCATATCCCAGCAGAAACATTAAAAATATTACAATGTGTTCTATGAGAGTGTGTGTACCATGTGTGTTTGTGCATGTGTGTGTATGTGAGTTTCTGCATTGGGGATATTCTGTAGTCTCTTTACTGGATTGTCTCAGATTTTGTATATAAAAAAAATCAAATGTAATGAAAGATGCAGTTTTCTCGTAAATTCCATTCATTCCTATGCGGGTCAAAATGACCCGAGAGGGACACTTTTGTTACTTTTTTTATTGCACCAATTTAAACTTCCAATTTTTTTGTGTATTAAAGTAAAGACATCTTGGACCGGTACGATCAACACACGATTTTTAGAATTTTTTTGAAAAAACTTTTTGGGTCAAAACGACCCGAGGGAGGGATGAGGTAAATACTCAGCAATGGTGTTGATTAATGGATTGGCACATGGTTTGTCTAAAAGCAAATTAAAAACAGCACATAGACAAATAAACAACATTAAAAAAAAACTACAGGGGGACTTTAATAAAATAAAAAAAAATTCAAAAAAATTATCTAGAGGCAAAATAAGTTTCATTCTATAATTCATATTATTCTATCATAATTTATATTATTAATTACTTTCACGAAAAATACTGTGGTGCTACAGTGATGACAGGAAGTGGTAATACTATGGTACACCTTTGATATATATTTCCATACCACAATATAGTATACTGCAGCGTTATGAAATATCCAGAGCACTTTAACCAATACCATGGTACAACGTATTGCACTCATAAAGCAGAAGGGCCCCTGAGAGCCAAAACACGAGGCCAGTTAAGTCACTATGAAGACAAAAATAAGAGCAATGGCTCTGATATTCTCGGATATTATTGAAGAATCAGCAGAATCACATGTGCAGGAGTCTGTGGTTATTATTATTATTATTACAGCCGCGGCGCCTGGAACGGACTTCATTAAACCACCGAGGCTTTCAGAAAACCGCTGCCCTGCACTTTGAACACATTCACTTCACTTACACGACAGAAACACTCCACGACTGACAAACTAAACTCCAAAACTCACCAGAATCACTCCCGCGATCAGCCATGACAACAATATCACACACTTCCGGGACTCACTTCCGGGAGTCAAAATAAAAGTCTCTCCTAAATACGAGTTCGACGACGTCATCGCGACCTACAATAATCTCACTTACTTTTCTTTTTTTTTTGACAAATGCTCTTAACAAACAAAAGTGTGTTATAAAACGGAGAGTTCCGGTCCTTGATTCTGATTGGCTGAGCCGCGTTCGAAGCTGTTGTAAATTACTCTACAAA